TGATTGCTCCAGCCTGCATGCAAAAGTATCGTTGGGAAAGATATCGATCTCCAATGCTTCTAACATTTATCTGAATGTGAATGTTAGACGGAAAGCGTTCAGAAATAGAAGAAAATGTTTTGGTAAATGGGAAATACGGTATTTTGAATGAAACGCTTTGAGTACTTGAGTAGAAAAGTGCCCTATATAAGAACCAATCCATTTACTATATACCAGCGTCCAAGAAAACTTTGAAATGCTGGAGAACTATTGCTTAAGATCACTTAAAAAACCCCAGAAAAACACTCTTGGTGGCTCAAGAGTTGTGCACATTAAGCCATTTAAAAAAACTCACCTTAAAAACAAATTTTAAAAGTTTACACTTTGACCATATTTGTGTCTGACACAATCTTGCTGCGCCGTTGATTTTATCTTCAGGCAGCGTAGAGCCGAGCAGAAGTCCAGCTGAGTGCGTGCGAGTTAGGAAAATGAAGGCCAGCGAGTGCATCTGTTCAGTAATTCTAAGAGACATTTTTCACTCCACTTGTGCCTATGGAGCACCTTAACATATTTCCCAACTGGCACATAGCATTCATCTTTGAGTGGTCCATAACAGCAGCAGAGTCATTTTCCCATCCGTTCCTCCCAGTTGCTAATTGAGATAGGAAAAAAAAAAGGATTCAGCCATTCCATTTTTTTTCCCTAAACGACTATTGGACACCCGAGACCAGATGGTCTGTTTGTGAGTGTCACCAGCGGCCAGTTGTTACATTTGACAATTTTGGCTTATCTGGCAAGTATCAGTACAATTTTTGCCACCTTCAAGAAGGCGCAACTGGGGAAAAAAATAGCAGTTGGATTGATTTCATCCCTCATTCGGTGCACAGCAAATATTTCTGACAAAGACATATGGTGGAGAGAAGTGCACAACAGCAGGCTGCCCAGCCTCTTGCCTGAGATGTTTTCGCTTGATAGTTTCCGGCAACATGCACATTTAGACAAGCTATGTATGCGGTGTTTGCATGCAGGATGCAGGAAGGCAGGCAGGCACAAACACACACACAAACTGCTTGAGCCTGACATTGAGGAAAGTGATATATCTATGGAAACATAAATATCCCCCTTCATGGAATTCTCCCAAGAGGATTTTTTTTCTCAAAGCATCATAATGTTTCCAAACGTAACTCACTGACTATTTTATGCTGATATTTCAAAATCGTACACATCAGCCTAAATGACGTCAACCTATTTGTCTCCACACAAAAACGCTATGCATGCCTGGTGTTTGCTGTGCCATGTCAGGAAGTCCGTCTGTCTTCCGCTGAAGCAATCTTTGAGAAATAGAGTCTTTCACCTTCAGTTCATTTGGAATTGGCGGGTGGGGGGAAACCGACCTGACGTTCAAAGTTGCTCGCTGATGCCGAGTCCCTGTCTGGGCTTTGGCAGCTGGACTGATAGCCGGTCCTTTGGAATGGCAGCTGTTGAAGGGCTTTTTAAATTGCACCCAGGTTGATGGGTGGCTGTCAGGAGGGCAATGGACGGAGAATTTCCAAGGAAAGGGGGGTGGGGGTCAGGGAGAAGAGGGTAGAGGGTAGAGGGAGTGTGGAGCTCAGAGGATAGTGACCCTGACACTGAGATTTACAAAAAAAAAAAGAAAAAAGATCTCAAATCCTGGGCAAAAAAAAAAATGACAGTATAAACCAAAGGCCGTGAAATAATGGTGTGAGGTGATGTTGCTGGAATAAATGGAGCACTAAGGTAATTTAGGTAGGCTGCACATCATCTCTGTTCATCAAGTGTAATATTCCCAGGCTGTTTACGCACAGCAGGATAATATCACTTTCTTTCAGAGCTTAATCACCTGCCAGAGATACAAATGGAAAATGTCAAAGGACAGTGCTCTCATTTTCCTTTGCAGAGCGGCTCGCATTAGCTTTTGTGCCCATCAAGTCTTACAATTCCATTAATTACAAAAGCTTCGACATGTTTCCACTGGCTTCAGAATGAAATCATTGTGAAGACACAATGGCATCTGAAATGAAGTGAAGTGAAAGCACTGTCTTTCGCCATTTACAGTGCAGTGGGAGAGCAGGTGTCATGTAATGGGAGTCTTTCAATCTCACTGGCTAATCTCGCCTTGCTGTGGCTGTGCTGTGCAACAGATGGTGTTTTAAGAAGGTCATCATGTCTGTCTCCCCTAGTTTCACTATTAGGGGATATTTAAGACATCATCGAGAATCTGTCAAAGTGCTGCCATACATCAGCTAAATAAATACAACCGGTATTAGACAGCTCAGACTCTTTAGAGACCTCTGTGGAGTGTTTAAGAATTGTACTGAGTGCACAACAAGAAGGAAGCTATTTAAATACTAAATACTAACTAATTAGTTCTCCCACATATACGTCTTAAGGTCTATTGTAGAATGACGAGCAGTAATATCTACCTTTGCAACATATTTTATGTTCAGCAAGGACAAGAAGACTATTAGTTTTGTTAGTAATTCCCAAAACCTCTTTATGGCTGTCAGCTCTATCTCTATCGGTGTGTATTTAAATACTGCTTAACCTTTGCAGAAGTATAGCTGGACTTAAGCAAGTGCAGTGCAGAGTTAATGTAATTTCGATAAGGGCTTCTTATATTTTATATCACAACAGACAACAAAAACTTGAAGTAAATATTCTGTATTTTCTGCAGTGTAACCCTTATTGTACCTTTAACCCCAAAAGTCAGACTTACACCTTCAAAAAGGATTTTAAAGTGATATATAATAGTGTGCACAAGCAACCTGCTCCAGGAATATAGCATTTGATCCAGTTTCTTTAGTTAAATTTATGAACAATGCCAAAGATAACTCTGTTTGACAGACATAATTGTATTTTTGCACCACCAAAGAGATTCTAAAGCAGATAAGCTTACCTAAGTGAGTTCAGACTTCTTAAATAACTCCAAATATTGAATTTCAAGCTTGTTAAAAATACAGACTTAGTTTTTTTTTGCCTCATGTACTGTGTTATGTCCTAGCACACTATAAAAAATGGGTGTGGCTCAAGAATTTTACACTTCACTGTAAAAAAGTTGCACACTGTCAAAGGGTTCTTATTTTGACAAAATTTACAAAATTCACTTAGATAGTCTAGAACTCAAAGTGGATCTCACTTATATATCAAAGATATCTATGTAGTATATACATATATAATATATATCACGTACGTGTGTGTGTGTGTGTTTGTGTGGAGGGGATGGGGGACTTCAGTCATTCATCTTTGGATTTGCAGTTCTCCTTTACAACTATCCTCTCATTGACGCATTCAATGGACATCTGTAAATTGTAGTTGTAAGAAGATAACCTTGATTACACTCTCTTCAAACAGGCTCTGCACTAACTGGCCTCTGTTTTAATGAGGGAACTTTGCATCCTGCATCATTCCCAGTTTTCTACATGCTAAACACATTCCAGTTCTGATTTATTTCACGTATTTCCTCACACTCTCACAATGTTCTGCAAACCCACACATTTCCTTCTATAAGGCTCTGATAGGAGGCTACCTGAGTGGCTGCATTCGTGGACCGTTATTAGCCATAAATCTAAAAAGGGCAGCAGAACCTCTGACAGGTGGCTCTCTTATTGCCTGCTGATTGCTGGAGTGTACCTATTAATCATTTCTGTATCCCCCACGGGTCAGGAAACATTTTTAGGTGAGGGATGGATCAGACACAATGGGACTACAGATTTTTCCCTGTCCTAACTCTGTTTTGATTTGCTCGTGCATCGTTTGCTTCACCCCAAATTATGCTTGCAACAGATTTTTTTCCCCCCCTACTGAAAGATATGACTGATGCTGAGAGCCATGTTGAAGAGAGATTAACATGAAATAGTTGGCGGGGTTTTTTAGGGATGTCAGCTTTTACACATGTAGCTCAGTATTAAGTTCATAGTAATTACAACAATGATTTGCAGATGATTTTGTGTTTGGAAATGTAAAGGATTTGTCATGTCCCAGAAAACGACTGCCTGCTTTCAGTCCATTCACTGCATGGCACGGCACCCATAAGCCCGAGCACAGCGCCATGATTACACACCAGAGAAATGGCAGCGTGCTGTACATCAAACTGTAGCCATTTAGTCTCAGTAACTCCATGATCTAGCTCGCATATAAACTAGAAATAAATTCCCCTTCAGCATTTTGACAGCAGCTATTCAGACACTTAGCCCTCATGCTCTGCAGTCGTATCCCTTTGCCAGAATCAATTGTGCTGGCAACCATTGCCAAGCTGGAATTTTATCTCCCAGCTGGAAAAAAAATAGAGAGGAGGGGTGGACGGGGGAACAGAGCATGGAGATATGCTGTTTATCAGTCACACCACTAATTTTCTCTCCCATCTCCCCCAGTTCCCTCTTTTTGGATGTGAGCTTGGTAATAATCTACAAGACCTTGAGCGCCTCGTGCACACCGTCAGCCATGACACATCCCAATTTCTTTTTTTTTTTGAGTGTTATTTTTCTTTCTTTGGTTGATCCCTGACCTTTTGAGCACCTCCCACATTTAATTAGTACTAAACTAAAAAGCTGCTCAGCGCCCCTCCTCACTCTCCTTCCTCTCCTTTTGTCCTCGTGACTCTTTTTTTTGGTGGCTCCATGGGAAATATACCGCATTCACGCCGTGATTGAATATCAGCGGTGAAGAAGGGGTTTTTGTAACGGCGTGGAAAATTACAAGGGTTTAAGTGTCAGACACATATGCCTGCCAAATGTAATCAGTGTGTAATAAATGTTTGCCCTTTACACTATAAAAGCAATGGCAGGACTGAATTAGTTCAGCTCAAGGCTGCACATCATTGCGTTGCCGTAGCTCTGATTAAAATTATTTCCCCGACAAGACCTGCTGTCTTCACCAGTTCCCTTTCTTGAAACTTCTCCCAAAATGACATTAACCTTTGTTTTTTATCATAATTGCTTTCATGATGACATGAACATACCGTAATCTAACATGCTTTTCCTTGTTGTGTTGTTGTCCTGCAGCTCTTGAACTCTTCGGAAGTTTGCTTGAGTGCTGAAAGGTAAGCTGCTAAAGTCCACTCACATGCAAGACTCATTGAATAAATAACAAAAATGGGCTCATTTCATTTTAAATTCAGTTTCCTTCTCTGCTCATTCCTAGAACTGTGCTAACGTTGGTTTCAGTGGAAGCACAGAGGTTAGAGAGCAAAAGGCCTCTCGCTCGTTTCTCCCCGCTGTTTAATTAGCGTGGTCTGAAAAATCAGGGTGCCGCTTATGCAATCGCAAATCCTGCTCAGCCAACAAAAAAAAACATTAAAAACTTGTTTTTAACCACGTCTGGCAGAGATAAATGGCACGCCTCGCCCGTCTTCTCTGCTACCCATGCAATATTGCATTGTGGGAAGACATGCGGAGTGGCAGAAATCTAAGTGGGCATGTGGGTCATTCGATAATGACAAATCTATGTGGGCATTTTCTGTTTTGTTTGCAAAAAGAACTAGAAGTGCTCGTCTTTGCATTGTGTGCATGCTTTGATATGTTGACAAGACTCAGTGAGTGCACTGTGCACGGCTCAGGTAAAAATACGCTTCTCTTATTAACCTCAACCACATAGCTGCGCTGCATTAAAAAGAAGGAGCGAATATTTCCTAATTGAAATGCTCTGTTCATTTGCTCTGGTTCGCCCAGATGAGATTCTAGGGCTTGGTTAGTTCAATAGATGGGAAAGACTCGGAGAATGATGTATTACATTCTGCTGCTTGATGAGAGAATGCCGAAGATTTCATTAAATGAAGGATTTTTGGGTGGCTGCAAGAAAAGTGGCACAATCGTTAAACAACCTCTTCATCCGTGAAAGGCACGATGAATAGATATGTTCCACTAAAATACAGTAGGAAAAATACATGCAGTACTGTGCACAAGTCTTGAGCCACCCCTCATTTCTTTTTATTTGGCTATCAAAATGAGAAATAGGTGCAATTGGTGAAATGGTAATACAGTATATAAGGCAAAAACAGAGTTTGTGCCATTCTAACGAGCTTGAAAGTCACTATTTGGTTTGACCACCTCTCTTACTCAAGCTTTCTTCTAATATCCTTTGGTAGCCTTCAGGAATAATTCTCCGGGCTTCTTGAAAGACTTTCAAAGCTCTTCTTTGGATGCTGTCTGCCTTTTCTGTTTTCTGCTAAGCCCTATTTAAGCCTATTTGCCACATAAGAACTCGAAAAACGTATCCATGCCTTCATCACTTCTAGACTGGACTATTGCAACTCTCTCTGCAATTAGTCCACTTAACTGGCACCAGAAGGCATGAGCATATCACCCCTGTCCTCACTAACTTACACCGGCTTCCTGTCAAATATCGCATTGATTTCAAAATCCTTCTGCTCACTTTTAAAATTCTAAGTAATCTGGCCTCTAGCTACTTAACTGATCTCCTTGATCTGTGCAACCCAACGAGAGCACTGAGATCCTCTAGCCAACTGCTCCTAATGCAACGAAGGTCTGGTTTAAAAACCAGAGGTGACCGTGCTTTTGCCATTGCTTCCACTCTGGAATAATCTCCCAGTCGAAATGCTAAACATTTTTTCTGTTTTGGTCCTACCATTTAAAAACAACAGTTATTTCTCAGAATCAATTCAGTCTTTCAAATCACACTTAAAAGATACCTGTTCAACTTAGCTTTTGAAGCAAATTAGTTTGACTTTCATTCAGCCTACACTACACCATGTAAATGTAATTTTAATTATAATTGTACTATTTGTTCCTTGTTCTGCCCGCATTGCGGTTTTATTGTGAAGCACTTTGATGTACGCCAGTCTTTTAAATGTGCTATAGAAATAAACTTTGACTTGACTTGACTTGAAGATGATCCCACACTGTTGAGGTCTGGACTTAGAGGAGGCCAATCCACGACTGATTGGACAGTTTCCAGTTTCCTCAAAAGACCCAATATACACCATGTCGAGATAGCCCAAGTTTTCAGTTAATAGCTCTTTGCAAATTGAGTTGTCGGCGCAAAAATACTTACCTTCAGAAAGCCTGGATAACTAGAACGAGAAAGTCTGGCTCCTTGGAAGCAACGTTTGAGGGGTGATTCATCTTATTCAAGCACTACTTATCTGGGCAGCAAGCATTATTGTGACTCGCAGTGTGAAAGGTTATGTTTCAAGCTTAAATCACAAAGTCGGGTTGGAACAAAGATCGGAGACTCCACAGATCTGTCCAGTGTGCCGAGGTAAAACTATTTTTAGATAGAGATTGCTCTCAATTGCCACTGGTGAAATTACCAGATAGAGGTTAAACACGATGTTTATCCATAAAAGCATCCATAAAAGTTTGAACTGATTAGGCTGAACGTAATCAAAGCATCTAGCCCAAACAGGGAAATGCACTGTAAGTCTGCGAGCCATTAAGGTGACCTAATGCAGTTTTATACAAGAGTTTTCCATCCTTGAGGATAAACAGTAAGATGAGATCATTTTTTATTTTCTCTGTAACAATACACAGTAATGAAGTAATGAAGCATTGTCAGAAAGTACTGTATTTTTATTTATCTCAATCAAATAATGTTTAAAGGGATTTTTTCCACTATATAACACAAACTTTACATTTAATATGCATCCATACTTACAATAGTTATTAAAGAAAAAAAAAAAACAATACTGAAATCAGCCTTAGTTTAAATCTTAAAGTTTGAAACTTAATGCCACTGGGATCTCAAACTCTTTTAGAACATGCAGGAAAAAAAGCACACACTTCACTTATAGGGTACTTTAGCAGTAATTGCTGGAGCCCTTTGTTGCTGTGTCGTGTTTCACTGGATCATAGTAAGGGAGCAGTTTGTAGCAGTGGGGGCATAATTAGTGATAGGCTTTGGACATGTCATACTCTGTTAGTCAGCCTCGCCTTAATTCCTTTGTCTCCTCTCTGCTCCGAGCATTTATTCAGGTTGTGTGCCTTTACACAGGCATCACAGTGCATGAGCATGCTTAATGTATCTAGTAAAGGTTTGTTTTGCCTTATATAAGTCCTGGCCGCTTTTTTAGGTACACCTGTTCAACAGCTTGTCAGTGCAAATATCTAATCAAACAGTCACATGTTAGCAACTCAGTGTATTTAGACATGTGGCCATGGTTTAGATCAGGGGTGTCCAGCTCGAGGCCTCAAGGACCGGTGTCATGCAGGGTATAGATGTGTCCTTGATCCAACACAGCTGATTTAAATGGCTAAATGATCTCCTCAACATGTCTTGAAGTTCTCCAGAGGCCTGGTAATAAATTAATCATTTGATTCAGGTGTGTTGACCCAGGGTGCGATCTAAAAGGACATTGGCCTTTGAGGCCTGGAGTTGGACACCCCTGGTCTAGATAACCTGCTGAAGTTCAAACTGAGCATCAGAATGAGAGATGTAAGGTGATTTAAGTGACTTTGAATGTGCCATGGATGTTGGTGCCAGATGGGGTAGTCTGAGTGTTTCACAAACATCTCTAGGGTTTTAAAAAAGTGTCTTGATGATGATGTAGAAATAAATACGTGTTGCAACCACGGTATGCAGAAGAGCATCTTGTGATGGAATCCTATAGAGCAACATACTCTTATGTTGAAAGGGCTAAAACAGGAAACAGTTCCTGAAGGTGGGGCGCTACAGTTGTTGTCTGGAGTGAGTAATAAGAGTTTTGTTGTTCGGCAATAAAGCCAACTTGGTGTTACAATCTGCCATCGCAGAAGACCACACCAGCAGCAGAAGACCACACCAGCAGCAGAAGACCACACCATCAGCAGAAGACCACACCATGTAGCCACTCATGTCATCTAAGATAAGGAGCTGAGGATCAAATTTGCACAGGCTTACCTTGACTGGACAATAAAAGATTGACTCCTCAGATCAGGCAACGTTTTTCCAGAGTTTCTGCTACAACATTTGGATGGTAGGATCAGAATTTGATGTAAACAACGTGAAAGCCTGGATCCATTTTGCCTTGTGGCAACAGTTCAGGCTGCTGGTGGTGGTGTAATGATGTTGGGGATATTTGCTTGGCATACTTTGGCCCCCTTTTTAGTACCACTTGAGCATTGTTTAAATTCTACAGCTGACCTGATTATCGTTGCTGACCGTGTTCTTGCCTCTATGATCTTAGTGTACCTATCTTGTGATGGCTACTTCCAGCTGGACAATGTGCCATTTCACAAAGCTCTAATAATCTCAAAGTGGTTTCTTGAACATGACAGCGACTGTTCTCAAACGGCCTCACAAGATCTCAATCCAAATAGAGCATTTTAGGGATGTACTGGCACAGGAGATTCACATCATGGATATACGGCCAATAAATCTGCAGCAAATGTGTGAAGCTATCATGTTAATATGGACCAAAAAATCTCTGAGGAATGTTTCCAGCACCTTGTTGAATCTGTCTCCCAAAGAATTAAGAGCTTTGAAAGCAAAACCAGCACTAGGGCGGTCTAATATTGTGGCTGGCGAGTGTATTGTGTTGTCAGTTCAGAAAATAGAATTTATCTGTATGAACATTTGCTAATATATGCTCATGTTTGTCTTTCTTGTGTCTGCGCCTGTCTGTACTAATATACCTGTGCAAGTGCTCCTTTGATTTCCAGCTGAACAAAAGAAAAACAAATCATTCAATTCTAGCCAAGTCCTACAAGCTAGAAAGGCTTCAGTATTCAGCTGGCTCATGAAGCTCACTTTGTCTATAATTAGAGGAAACCTTTTGGGGCTTTTCATTTTCCTTTTTAAGTAGATCCCAGTAGCAATGAAATGCATAAAAAAATGATATTGCATGATGCCAAAAGGTAGACTGGTGATTACAGTCAAAGGCCATTTTTTTGGGCATGTGTCTATGCGTGGAGTTTGCAGAGTGGTTTCTCAACCTAGGCTGATGATGTGAGGGGTGGATGAAAGCTGCTTTGAGGATACAGTATACGGCTGGGAGGAAAAGCTTTTCCTTTACTCCCTTCCATTGCCTTTTCTCCAATTTTCCCTTTCTCCTTCATCCCCCTCCTTCATTTCCCTTCTTTCTGCCCTGTTTCATTCTCCTGCCAC